TACCCTTATAGATCCCTATAAAGGAACGCCAGGATTTACATCATCAGCCGTAGTTCTCAAGTGCTACACCAAGAGATCTGTGCTAGGTGGTTTTGGCTCTCGGCCGTATCCCCGCTTGCAAGGCAGGGCTTTCGAAGTCATGGGGTTCAAGGAAGCTAGCGTTGGTGTGCAATCGATGTGGGGGTTTCCAAATAATGAGGGGGGGTACTTTCTCTTGGGGTCCTTATAAGAAGGGTCCTACTATTTACGGTACTGTATTAGGGTCCCCTATCTTCGGAAACTCCCATGTCTAGCGATGGTATGCGTCTTGATATGCGTACGTACCTACATGCACGCCAACACGCGCAAAAACGCGCACACACGAATGAATACATGCATGCATACGTGCGTACGTATGTACGCATAAAGTATAGTTATTAGCGACATTATATATATATAAGGGTACTACAGGGGTTCCTTTAAAGGACTACTATAAGGGTACTACAGGGGTTCCTTTAAAGGGCTACTATAAGGGTACTACAAGGGTTCCTTTAAAGGGTTACTCTGAGGGTACTACAGGGGTTCCTTTAAAGGACTACTATAAGGGTACTACAAGGGTTCCTTTAAAGGGATACTATATATAAGGGTACTACAAGGGTTCCTTTCAAGGGTTACTATAAGGGTACTACAGGGGTTCCTTTAAAGGGCTACTACAAGGGTACTACAAGGGTTCCTTTCAAGGGTTACGATAAGGGTACTACAAGGGTTCCTTTGAAGGGTTACTATAAGGGTACTACAAGGGTTCCTTTATAGGGTTACGATAGGGGTGGGTTCCTTTAAAAGGTTAAGGGTACTACAGGGGTTCCTTTAAAGGACTACTATAAGGGTACTACAAGGGTTCCTTCAAAGGGCTACTATAAGGGTACTACAAGGGTTCCTTTAAAGGGTTACTCTGAGGGTACTACAAGGGTTCCTCTAAAGGGCTACTATAAGGGTACTCCAAGGGTTCCTTTAAAGGGTTACTATAAGGGTACTACAAGGGTTCCTTTAAAGGGTTAAGGGTACTACAGGGTTCCTTTAAAGGGCTACTATAAGGGTACTACAGGGGTTCCTTTAAAGGGCTACTTTAAGGGTGCTACAAGGGTTCCTTTAAAGGGTTACTCTGAGGGTACTACAGGGTTCCTATAAAGGACTACTATAAGGGTACTACAAGGGTTCCTTTAAAGGGCTACTATAAGGGTACTACAAGGGTTCCTTTCAAGGGTTACTATAAGGGTACTCCAAGGGTTCCTCCAAAGGGCTACTATAAGGGTGCTACAAGGGTTCCTTCAAGGGGCTCAAAAAGGGTTTAGAGTTATCACCCCGGTTGATGACATAACTCCTGCATTACCAGTAATAAAGAATATGCCATAATTCCCATAGCTTAGGGTCTAGGGTAGTTAAGGTAATGCGGGATTTATATCATCAGCCGTACGGTTTACTTCATGGTTAATATTTAACAATTAATTAGGGAACCTTTAACCTGTTGGGTTTTATATACTCTTACCACAATTGAAAAACCTAACCTTGTTTGGGCTAGGGTACTCAGCCCCTAAGTAGAGGATCAGGAGACTAAGTAAGTAGGGTTATAAGGAGGGTAAATATAGTAATATCTACTTATCAGCCTACTTAAGGCACTTAGAACCCTACTTACTGGAGGGCTTCGGATGGTTTAGGGTTTTCAGGGTTGAGGGTTCCGAGCTTGGGGTTTTAGGGTTCCGGGTTCAGGCCTTTATAGTGTTCAGAAGTTTTGGGGTGAAGTTTTCGGGTACAGGGTCGGGTTTTTACTGGGTTTAGTGTGCTTCTAAGGACTCTAGGGTTTATAGGGTTCAGGTTTTTTTCGGTGTACATAATTCGGTGGCCCGGAGGATCCGTCGTTTTGGTGCCTAGCCTGTTTTATGGAACGCTGGAGTCTTGGTTGTAAGGCTGGCGAGAACTATGCCGTCCAATCGACGAATGCAATTTGGGTTTCGCTGGCCTGTCACAATCACCACGGACATGATACATTCAAGGCTCGCGCTACTAACTTGTAATGAATTTCGCGCTGCTTGCCGAGCATCCACAGGGCTCATGTAAGATTTTTACCGGATGACTTTGCGGTCTAGTGCTGAGCAAGCATCCAGACCCTAGGGAAAGTCAGAAGAATGAAGCCCTTGAATCCTTGAATCATCGAAGAACATGTCGTCCGAGCGGTTTGGTTCCTCTTTGTCTGTTTGTGGCTTCTCTGGCTCGCTCCACAGAATTGAGAGGCAAGTCTATTGCGGCTACTTTTGTTTTTCGATCTTTATCGGCATGTTTGGTTCATAGTGTTAGTGCAACTACAGGCACCCGTAAAAATTCGAAGCCTTGAGTGAGAAGCGGGGACCTAAGTACTGGTTTTTGGAACGTCACGATGTGGGTGCTCAATGATTTCAATGTCAGAGAAATGCTACACTCCCATTTCTCGCCTTCGGCTTTCCTTGTCAAGCCAATGTAACGAGAGAATGGAAAAACAAGCACAATCTCAAAACGCTCAAGAGCGCTACTAAACAGTTGTGACATCGGCATTCCGGGAGTCAGATTTGTAGGGCTGCGGTCACGAGTTCCCGCTGGGATGAAACACTGCTCATGGTTGAGCACACATGTTCTTGAACAAGTCTTGGTGGCTACCCACTCAAGTCCAGGCTTCCTTCAGATGATTGTAGCCTCCTCGACCCACGCGCGCCGCAGTGAACAACGATGAACAGTCGGGACATGGGCCGGTTCCAACAAACGGAAACTGGGAATCTCAATCCGCGGTAAATAAGCCACGAAGGATGTTGCTTGGGTACGGCCCCCACTCAGTCATGGGTGAATAATACTCATAATATAGATATAGTAGGACCTTAATAGTAGCCCTATTATGGACTCTTACTGTATGGGGGCCGTACCTAAGATGTTGCTATTCATTTGACGGGCAGTTCTAACATGGAACAGCCCTGCACGACCCGACACGCCACAGTAAACTCATTGACAAGAAACTTATGTACATATTCTCTCTCTCTCTCTCTCTATATATATATATATATATATATATATATACATACGTACATATATCAACATGCTTGCATGTGTGCATGTGTATTTGTGTGTGCTGATGAAAGTAGAATGTGTGAGCGCAGTTTGTACAAAATATACAAAAGCTATTCATTGTTTTGAGCAGTAGATAAAGGCAACAGAAGATAGCAAACATCGATGTCACACCTACTCCGGCAACTGGTGGTAAGAGCTTGCCACCGAATTCTGGAGCACAAACTCGAGGGATCGGTTGCAGTTAGCTTCAGTTTACGGCGATCAGTGTTTCGGGTTTAGGGTTGTGACGGGTTTAGGCTTCGAACAGACTCCCGAGTTCTGGCTGCAGGAACTGGCGTACAATTCGGCCAACACAGTGCGCTCGACTGGATGTATCGTGTCAACGCGTGCGTACACACATGCATGCTTGTTAGATTCAGCAGTTCCGCAGCTTGCTCGGCACCACCGTAGATAGGGTTCAGGTTGGTGGTTTGGGGTGTAGGGTTCAGGGTTTTCTTAACCCTAGACGCCAAACCCGATGCCCTTGAGAGAGGGAGCAGAGGAAGCCGAAGTCACGAAGTGATATCGGCAGGAGTTTGTGGCAACGGCTGCCGAACAGGTTGTGGCATTCTCAGGAAATCGAAAGACCTACCCCAAACCAGCCTCAACTCCAGAATCTTTGTCCGGGTGTAGAGTTGTGGCCTTTTTTGGGGTTCGCCGATCCTGAGCCGTTTAAAGAACGATAAGGGAGGCTTCGCTAGTGAATCTCAGTCATCGGTTTCTTGTAAGTTCTGCTGTCACGTCGTTGTTGTAAAGCATGTTCGGGTAAACCTTGGAGATGAGAGTGGCTTCTGTTTCGACAGTAAAGTTGCTTACGATCATTGTGGTTGCATGAACTTGCCGCTGCGCTGCACTTTCGGCACTACATCCGATCCACTCTGAGCCGTGGCGCAGTGGCCAATTTTTACGGTTCGGAGGGAAGCTGAACGTTACCTGTATCCTAGACCCTTATTCATAAGTCTACCCCAAGCGCTACTCCTAAACCCCAGAAATCCGCAGGACTTAGTGGAACAGGGTCGGCGAAGAGTGACCTTGCATCCTACACCGGTCCTTGTTTTTGGGAATAGCTCCTAAGGATCTAAGGCCCCTTCAAACGAAAAGGTCACGACTCCGTAAGCATTTTAGAAGAAACACTCCTGAGGCCTTTGTTGTAGTCAGAAGAGAACCACCGAAGGAAATAGATGCTTTACCCCTCAGCCCGAAACCCTCAAAAAAAACAACAACCCTAAACCCTAAACCCTTAACCCTTTTTAAGGGTTTTTGCCCTTAGCCCTTAACCCTTAGCCTTAAACCCATGAACCCTTAAACCCGGGAACCCTAAATCCTCGGTCCTACCGCCAAAAACCCTTTAAACCCTAGACCCCAAACCCTTAAACCTTCAATCCCAAGCCCTGAACCCTCAAACCCTTAAACCCCCAAAACCCTAAAACCCTAAGCTTTACCCCCTAAACCCCTCAACCCCGATTCTCTGAAAATCACAAAGGGCCCTTCAAAAAAGAAAAAGGAACCTCCTAAGGTCCAAAAGATGGCAACCATTGCGGCTCCGCAGCTTCTCCTGCTCACGCAGGGCTTAGCCAGCCTGGGCATGGCACCCAGGGGAGAAGAGACTACTTAGAGGATCATGGGACTTAGTAAGCAGGGTTATAAGTACCTTATTTAGGGTTATGAGTAGATATAACTATAGTTACCTTACTTATAACCCTACTTACTAAGTCCCCTGATCCTCCAAGTAGGGACAGCGTTTCAGTTTTCATGTGTCCGTTGTTCTCAGGCTTCTTGTTCTTGCGTTGCTTATGTGTGCATCCCGAGGTCTCCTATGGCTACGGCTCAAGCCATGCAACGGCCCAAAGCTTGGCCTTAGCTTCGGCCCCCGGCATTCTTCGGGCATGTGAATGCCGCGTTCTGGTAATCCAAGATGCGCCGACTTCTGCAAGAAGTTCCTTTCTTCTGCTGGCGTAACTGCATGTGCCTTCATGGTCCTGAAAAATTTCAGGATGACCACAGGCGGTATCTCATTGCACGCAGGCGAGCCTCTCGGAAATCCCCAGAGCGTCGTGGCCAGCGCTCCCGGGCCTGTTGAGGGTTCTCCACAGGAGATGCTGGCAGCGACCACGCTCTTTCCGCAAAAAGAGGTCAGCTCCATCGTAGTACCGCCCTCGGCGGGTACGCATACCACGGGAGCTGCAGAGTTCTCCACGACACGCGACTTGGCAACTGCAGCTACGGCAACTACTACTAGGGGCCTTGCTTACGACGGCCACTTCCTTCACAACCTCAGTGCAACACGGCCCGGGTGCCGCGGTTGCTGCAACTCCGGTGCTCAAATCGTGGATTGCTTGAATGTGGAGAAATGTGCAGAATCCTGGCACCCAGAGAAGGGCAAGTTTGCACTGGTTTTGAGTCACTGGGGGATGCCCAGTGAAGGCATGCTTCAGTCCATCAAAAGCATGAAAGCTGCAGCTGCCGCGGCCAACCGGGCAGACATCTTACTTGTCATGCTGCAGAAGGACGTCGATCGCATCTCGCCCAAAATTCAAAAGCTACTTGACAGATGGGAGATAAAGCTGCATGTCGTCGACTGGGACGTACCCCCTGACTCGATGTTCTATCCGAAGCATGATTGGTGCGGCCATCAGGATCTGATTCGTTTGCATGTATTGGCACTAGACGCATATGATGCTGTCGCCTACTACGATGCAGACTGTGAGTTTCAGGGGGACATCACGCCGGTGCTGCGCTGCGCGGCCACGGGCAAGCTGCTGACCACCAACGGCGGCGTGGGCGAGTCCTTGAACGTGGGCTTCATCGCTGTGAGGCCCGACCGTCGTCTGTTGGAGGCTGCCCGACTCTTTGCGCGGAAGAACAACTTCTCCGTGCAGCATGGCTGGGGAAATTCGGGTTGGAAGCCATGTGGTGGCTACTTCGTCGGAGGTGAGTGTGGCCAAGGCTTCATGTACAGCCTCTTCTACTCCAGGAGCTCATCTGCCCAACGAGCTTTGGAGGGCGCCGGGGTCTGGGAGAACGGCGTTTTCCAAGCAGCCCAGATTGACCGGTGCATCTGGAATTACCAGACCAGCTACCAGTGCCGGCCAGATTTCAACTGCGAGCGCGTGCGTGTCCATCACAAGCCAACGAGGGAGCGCGGTACGGACAGGAACGAGTGCGAGAAGCTCCGATTCAAGGAAAAGCGCAAGGAGTTGGCACGCCGCAGGCGTTCAGAGCGCAAAATCCAGGGCTTCTCCGAGGGCACTTTGCTCCTGCACTCGGGTGGTTTCTGTGTTCGTCCTTCAGACGAAGCCTTCGGGCAAGGTGCCATGCTTCTACTCAGAAGCTGCACCACTCCACCCACGGAGCAGAACCTTCGCATGGTACCCGTGGATGCAGACGACGACGATGAGGAGTCCTTGGGGATCGTGCAGCTTCGCATCGGCCAGCACTGTGCATACCCGCAGGGCGACGACATGGACACAGCGCCGGAGGAACCGCGCCTGTCCATCACAGCTGATTGTTCTGCACCGCACAGCTTCCTATTCAAGCGACTCAGGGCCCAAGCGGAGGGCTTCCTACTTCAACATACCTCTTCCAGGAGCTGCATCCACCCCTTCGAGGGGCAGGAGCAGCCCAAGGAGGGGACCGAGCTTTTGCTGCATTCCGACTGCTCCCAGACCAGGCGTGCGCTGACCTTTCAGGAGGGCACCAGCCAGGGCCTCAAGGTGCGGTCTCAGGGTCAGAGAGAGGAGCCGTGCGACTACATGAAGGGCAGCCCCCAAAGCTCGCGCCCAGGAAAGCCGTGCATTCCGCCCGCAAAGTTTTGGCCCTATCGAGGAAAAACGATTTGGAGGATGGAGCTCGGTCAGCGGATCCTGGATGCAGTCACGCCTGTCATCAAAGAGGAGCAGTGCGGAGGCTTCTTCTTGTATGGCGATGTCACCTGGTGCAATGCGGCTTTTTCAAGAAAGCCCCGGGCAGCAGTAGGTTTGTCGTATGGAATCGAGGAACGAGACATCTGGAGCGAACTGATCAGCCAGAAACATTTGCCTACGAAGCTTTACGACTGCTTTATCCCCCCAGCAAGATCGATGCCGATGGCTGGCAAGTCGCCGAACGGGACGCGGCGATGCGAAGGAGTGGAGAAGGAAGCCTGCTACACAACGAAATACGAGTCCTACAGGATTTGCTTGGGAGCCGAGGCGACCGTCCAAGACGGCCGCACCTTTGAGACTCTTCACTCCCACCTTCGTGGCATGCCGCCGCTCTCGGTGCACCTCAAGATCGACACGGAGGGCTCCGAATGGCCGGTTCTGAACGCTCTCCTTGCCAGTGATGATGACATCCACAAGCTCCGCACACTGGACATGGAGGTGCATTTCGGCTGGGCTGGGAGCTTTCCAGGTCAGCTGTCTGCCAAGGAACAGTTGGCGCTGCAGGTCGCAACGATGGAGAAGCTCCGGGAGAGCTTTTTCTGCACAGGCTCGACGCTCGAGGTGTACCGGCAAGGATGGCGGCCCAAGGACAACTGTGATGGCGGCACCTGCAACGAGCCACCCGTGTATTTGCCAGGAGGCTTCTCGATGGAGATGTTTGCAGTGAGCTTTGTCAATAAAGCCATGGTCAAGTGACGCCCGACGAAGTTTCAAGAGTTTTGGCGCCACTGCAGACACTGTGCCCGTTGCTTCTGATGCGACAGCTGCAGGCTTAAATGCTTTGCGATCCTTGGCTCCTATAAGATCAGTCATCCCTTGCATCATTCGTCCGTTGTTCTCAGGCTTCTTGTTCTTGCGTTGCTCATGAGGAAGGCTCTGCCCTAGAGCTTCGCTGCCGGCATACACTGCAAGCCCGTGCTTATCTAGCAGGGTTCCCAGAGACTCCAATATTTCTTAATTAAGGAATATTCCTTAAATTAGATTAGGATCCCTAATATGATTTAAGGAATATTCCTTAATTTAGGGATGTTGGAGTCTGTGGGTTTTGCAGTTAGGAATCCTGAAGTGCAGGCTTTTTGACATTGGGGCTTTGCGAGTCAATTAAGAGAGCAGCCTGAACAAATGGGTGGTTGTCAAAATTAGGGTAGCTTTTTGGGTCCCTAATATAATGCGGCACCTTACATTCCGGGTACCCCAAAAGGGACCCTAATTTTGACAACTACCCAAATACCAACACAGTTTCGCAGGGTTCCCTTCATAGTCGCCGTATGCTATACCCGAGCAAGATCTTCTAATTGTCCAGGCAACTAATTCCAACCTTTGGGCTTTCGACCATGCCACCTTGAGAGTTTTGTAGGATCAGGTCGAGAGCTTCATCTTAGATCATGAAAGGCATCAACTGTGGGTTTGACGTGATGCCTTTGCTGCTTCTTTTGTCTTCCTGCGATGCTTCTGGATTATGATACATTAACTGCCTTGCACTTGTTTCATATGGATTTTGCATCGTACGGTTGTGCGCTTGTTGTGCAATTTTGCAATGCGTTGGGTTGCTTCCTACGTGTTTGTGTCACACAGACGGTGTGTAACTGCCTGCACCCTTCAACCCCTGGGCCTTAAACGTAAGATCCCAAACTCTCAACTCTAAGCCCTACGATTTGCAAGGTTGTCTGTCCGGTGCTTAATGGGGAATGAGGGAATGGATCCCTGTAGTAGCCCCTATATAATCCCCAATAATAGTCTCCACGATCCAGTCCCCCATTCCCTACTACTACCAGACAGTTGTTAGGCCTAAGAAGCTCCTAAAGGGATAACAGTATTAGATAAATAATGAGAAACGTTGTATGAACCACCTGATAATGGAATCTACATGTTCATCTCCGCATGACCAGAGAAAGCCAAGCCTGAGGTGCGGACAACGCATCCTTGACAAAGCTGGCCTGGGCTTCAGCCCAGAGAGCACCAACACCCCCTAATTCAGGAAAATACCTAAGGCCTTTGGCTTCCTTACAGGGTTCTTTAAGGGGATCTAAAGGGGATCTACAAGGGAATTAAGGATTACATACCTGAAATTACAGGAAGCTTAGAATTATGACTTCAGGTATAGTCCTGAACTAAGGGGCATTGGGGTATCTGGGAGTGACAGGTTCAGGGTTTGGGGCTCCGAAGCCGAAGATCTAACCCCGACATGCTAAATGCGAAAACCCTAAGCACACGGTTTAGGGTTCAGGGTTTAGGGTTTTTGGTTTAGGGTTTAGGGTTTATGGTTTAGGGTTTAGGGCTTATGGTTTAGGGTTCAGGGCTTAGGGTTTAGGGCGACTCGTTCAGCAATGCAGGAGGCAAAACACGAATCGTACGCCGGGTGTCATGCGGCTTGGCATTCAGGGTCTCGGGTTGGGACCCGGAGGGGTAGGCAGGTTTCAAGGCCGGTGATGTGGGGCTTAAAGGGAACTCCAGAAAGTTGGAATATGGTTTCAGGGTAGGATGCCCTATAATTTACCATAAAGGGTTTAGGATAATCATATTCCAACTTTCTGGCTTTTACTTTAAGGGATCCATCTACCGATTTCCGGTTCCATAGCCTTCCTGCCACAAGCTTGAGGGAGTTGAGGCACCAGTCCCTAAAACCCTAGAAAGCCCCAAACCCTAAACCCGAAGAAAGATCTCAAAGGGCCCTGAAAGCCTTTGGCTTTCGTTAGGGTCTTCCGAAGCTCATGAGTTTGATTGGTAGTGTTTGGGATGTAGGAGCATACGACTTTCGCAGTTCGCCCCTCATCAAGAAAGCTTGGACGTTTAGGCTGCATGCCGAAGCAGGGTTTGTGTGTTCTGTATGATTTGTGGAAGACGTTGCTGGCTCGTCGCATGCAACCGGAGAGCCTCATCTGGCAATTTCCGGTGTGAGAGCGTAAAGCCTGAACGCCCTAAGCCCTAAACCCCAAACATAACTCGAACCAAACAAAACCTAAGCCTTGTTCTAAGTAATCGGGCCCTTGCAGTGGATTCGTGAAATACATGCAGTAGCGCCTTGTACTGCAGTGACTCATTGTGCAGCAACATGCTTGCATTCAGTGAGAGTGCGGCGTCATGTTCAAGTTGAGGCTTCGATGGTTCAAGAAGCAGGGGGGGCACTGCCAATCGTGTCTTTTCAGACCGTGCGTAAAAAATCCAAATAGAGGGGCTGTTCAGGATGGAGTGTCGGAGGAAGCACGGCAGCGAGCCTAGGTCGAGTTCTGGGCAACCACCGACGGGGAGGTCCGAGACTTTAGGATTTGCTTGGGTATCGGTGCTGCCTGTCGGCCTCGGTGAAGATGATTACAGGTCGTAGACTGGCTAGACTTGAGTCCAGCAGCAAACAAGGGGTTTAGGGTTCAGCCCCGAAAGAGGTTGACATGTTTGTAGATCTGGCTCATCGGGTGGCACTTCAGAGAGACTTCGTACAAAAAGGGTTTCGGGGCTTAGGGTTTGCATTGGCCTCAGCAAAGGGTTCACAAAAACGGTTTTAGGCTTTAGGCGGTCTCAATGTGAGTCACCCGGGAGTGCTTCAGATACCATGCGGAAGTGCAGGAGATCAAGCTCAAACAGCTCTCAGCGGATCAAGTTGCCAAGTTGGCGCAGGCTGGGGCATTATAGCTACGATATTCCACAATAGCATAGTATGCTAGACCCTCTCGGGTGCAAATGCGGAGAGACAGAGACAGAGAATAGCATAGCACGGGTTGAGGGTTTCTGTCACTCAGAACTAAATCCCTAAACCCGAAATCCGACACCCTACACTCTAAGCACTTTTATAGAACCCTTATAGATCCCTTTAAGGAAACCTTAAATGATCACTTTACAGGAGCCCTAATGTACCCCTTAACTCCCCTAAACCCTGAAGCTCGAAGGGTCCGAAAAGCTTGCCGACTCAAGGCTCGAAGCCCTACGCGAATCTCTTAAGCTCGAGTCTCATACACCTAAACCCTTTTAGCTCTGAACCCAAAACGCTTATTGAAGTTCGGTACTCCCGTGTGTGGGCCTCGCAGAACCCTAAACCTTACATCGACGGCTGGGACGTAAGAGCAGAAGTCGTGTGCTTGGAGGCTGGAATTTTTGGATCACGGTTTAGGCTTGGCAGTTTAGGGCATTGTTACCCCTCCTTCTTCAGAATCTAGATTTAAGGTGTGAGCTTGTTGCAAAGCCGGGGTTTGGCAACCACGTTGGGTGACAGCGGTGCTTTTCCGCCGGTTTCTAAGAGGAACGGAGGCTTCAAGGGAAGGTGCACCTTTATGTTGGGGCGCAGATTTATGAAGGAGGTACATGTGATTCAAACCATTTGACTTTTCCTTTTGCGTGGGCAGGCTGCCGAAAGTTTCAGGGTTCCGCGCGCTTGTTGGATTGGTCTTGTGCACCGAAAATCACAAGCCTAACGCCCTGGATTTCGAATTTTAGGTGAACTTGGGGGTATTGTTATTCCGGTATTATCCCAAAGGTTACCTTTAGTTCCCTTAGGATGCTGAACAAGTTAGCAAAGCCAAGACAGAAGGAAAGACCCTGAAAGCGATCCCGTCGGGACGCAGGTGCTTGCGCCAGTCATGTCGGCACCTCGGGGGTGTTGCTTAGGGTGTGATACGTTTGATGATATAAGTCCTGCATTACCCATTATAAGGAATATACCATAGTTCCCATAGTTTAGGGTCCTTAAGGTAATGCAGGATTTATAGCATCAACCGTAAGGTGCGTAAGGCGCAGATGCCAGAGCGATTTAAGTTTTTTTGGAGCTGTGTTGCCCCCAAACCCAAAGAGTTGAAACGTGAGCTTTGAATCCCTTTGGGCGACCACAGACAGAGGCATCCGATCAGAGACTGAGGTCCAGGTGCTTCTAAAGCGGTTCAAAAACAGGGGCCTTCATAATTGGAAGAGGGTGTTGGGGTTGAAACGAGGAAGCCTAAGGAATAGTATGAGAAATCATTCAGGCCCCCATACTAGGATGATTTGTGAAGACATTGACGATGTTGTTGTAGACGGGTCTAGTTTTTCAGAGTTTAGGACTTTTTTTTTGGCTCGTCAGCCGGATCGGCAACTTGCTAGTAGCCTGAGAAGACTGAACCTCAAGCCCTAATGTAAGGTCCTGAATAGTCAGAATAAGGTTTTGGGGTGCCGCCTTCTTATATATATATGTATATATATATATATATATATGTATACATAAATATAGGGCGACATCCACCAAAGCCCTAATCTAATAATTAAGGCCCCTAGATTAGCTGTCTGTCTTTCCCTGTAAAATTTGCAAGAGGCAAAACACCAGCTCCTTGTTCAGGAGGCCCAAACCCGAAAGTTTAGGGTTTAGGGTTTAGGGGTCTTTGTTGTTACTTTGACTCCCACCTTAGTGGACGTCTCGCTCAACGGACCTCGAACCACATGCCTCGCCTGGATTGTGCGAGCGTGAGCGCCGAAACCCTTAAGGAATGGGCTTCTGTTCATCGGAGGCTTCAAAAGGTGGGATGAAGGCAGGTAGGATTAAGGATCCCTTATATAAGGACTCTTATTTGGGAATATCCCACCTACCTCCATCCCACCTTTTGAGGCCTCGGAGTTCAGGTTGTGGGATGCCAGTCGTGGGACCCCACAAGCCTTCAGCTGTTTGCAAATCGAAGCTGGCACGGCCACAACGTCCCACAGTTTAAGCCTAGCAAAATCTGGGGTGGGTTCAACGGACC